CACACACACACACACACACACACACCCACACACACCCACACACACACCCACACACACGCGCACACACGCACACACACGCACACACACACACACACACACACACACACACACCCGCGCGCACGCGCGCGCGCGCGCGTGCGCGCGCGCGTCACACTCCCCAACACTAACATGGCGCCCCGAAATGGAACTAAGGTCTATGCTACTAGTTTCGGCGACAGTAGATACTTGAACGCTAGCCATTGGGTTCAACAGCCCAAAGTAGATGCTACAGATGCTACTAGTTTTTACTAAAAATGAGAAGCGTCAGGGCCCGATGTGTACTTTGGGACTCTAACCTAAGTCTGCACTATGAACCTAAAATCTAGGCAAAGAAGTCATCTCGGCCAACTTTGCCTCGCAGCGGTTTCTCCGAAGGCAGGTCAGGGTATGCTCGGGAAGAAAAGCCCTCACATGGGAGCCAAGGTGCAGAAAATTGCAAGATGGACATAGTAGCCTCTGCTTGCAACAGGGTCAGGAATCGAGATGAAACTATGGCTCGGTAAGAATTGTCAGGGTGCACCGGGTGTTTTTGATTTCTGTTGGATCATGAAGGATTCTGCTTTCCAGATTGGAAGTCGGCTGAAGCACCCAAACGACAAATGAAGAACGGACCCTAATGCTCCAACCCGAATGCCTAAATCTCTGCCCCTGAGCCCTTCGCCCTTGTCCTGAAACCCTTGTGAATTCTTCAGCCTTCGAGGATCGATGCGTCCATGGCCGCCCAAGTGCGACAAATGGCCCACAACAGCCTGGGATTCTGGCCGCGCGAGGCGCGATTCAGGGTTTACAGGGGTCCACGGTGCACCTGTCGGGTTTGGGGGGGCCTGTGCCGGCCACATCAGAGAGTCCTGGTTGGAAAAGAGGGTCGACAGGGCATTATAAGCCCCAACGTGAACAAAAGGTTAACCTTGGACCTTGGCTAAATCAAGCCTTTGTAAGTGCAGGTCCCAGAGCGGATAAGGCTTGGCGGCTTCAATACGTTCGCGGTTATGGCCTGCGTACATTGTCATACTGCGGAAAACAGATGATGCAAGGGGGGACTGTTGTGGGCTGCAGTTGCTGTTTGCAGGTGTTGGCGTTCAACAGTTCTTCCTTCAGACCAGCAACGTCTTCTAAAAACGCTTGTTTCACATGCTAGGACACTTCACGCATACAGGTAGCAACACCACTTGCCACACGAAACTAGCACAAGCGCCCAAATTCAGAAAGCATTCCAGCAGCCGTGCGAAGAATGGCAACAGTAGCTTTCCTAGTGATACTGATGCAAGAATAACAGTCACCTCGGTATTTTCCTCTGCTTGAGGTATGTGGCTCGTGCCTCTCAGTGACATCCTCTTGTCAGGAACATCATGTGTGGAACTACCAAACCACTAGGGTGGCGCCAGTGCCTAACGGAAACTGCCACTTGGCCCACACCTTCAACCCCTAAGCCCGTGCATGTTTTGCCAAATAGCAGGTGGAGGGTGTTGAAGTGGCATCAGATCTCTGGGAAGATGACAGCGGCCACTTACCCGTGAACCTGTTTCTGTAATCTCGGGGTTTGGCAAGCTTTGGGAAATTCTTTAGCCTTGGGGGTTTGAGAGTATATGGGGTACTTCATTTCTGAAGTTTGGGGGTTTGCTATGCTTGGGGACTTCGGAGTTTGGAGGTGTGTACTTTGGCATTCAATCTCTGCCGGCGGGACTGCGTATCCACTTAATTCTATGTCCTGGACCTCATGCTCAAAGGCCACGCAGATCTACATTAAGATGCAAAGCCCTAGTCAGAAAAGTGGCGCGAAGTTCCGGGAAGGCGACCCCCCTCCGCGATTACCACCCAGCACATGTACTGCTAGGCGAGTGGATCAAGATTCCAGCTGCAAAGTGTTTAAGCTGTGCTTTCTTGACGCGAGCCAAGGCGATGTTTGGTTGCTCCTGGTCCGCAATGGCTTCAGGGGTAACAGACTGCGACGGACGTGTTCCCAACTGTACCTTGTTGTTAAACTTGAGATGAGGCATGCCTCAAATTCGGTCTGTTTTTAAGTAGGGTTGGGCAATTCAGACCCCTATGTTATCTTAGTTTGGGGTTGGGTGGGCAGACCTCTGCAACGGACTGAGAATCAGGCCGTTGGCCTCGTGTCATCAAGCAATTCCACACAACACAAAACATGCCGGGAAGCCACTAGGGCACTGAGGCTATCCGTTGTGAGGACCTGTGAATGATGGTTTGGGGAATCTGCTTGGTTCAGGAGTTAGGGGTAAGGGTTCCGAGTTGGCGCAAAGGGGGAGGTATTGGGCGGCTTCGGGAGGTGTCAAGGCACTATCCAGGAAGAAGGGCGGCCCAAAATTGCCATCGAAGCATTGTGCCACCATGACTCTCAGCACTCAGGGATCCAAATAGCCGCCCAAAGTATGGAACAAGGATGTGCTTGCAATGGGTCATGCAGAATGTTGTCTATCCAGCGTACCGGGTAAGGCGGTTCAGGTCTCAGAGTTTAGGATAGAGCCCGTTGCGCCGTAGTACCTAAAAGAGCTTGCAACCGAATGGCTCGCAGTTTAAGAAATCCCTTTGGACCTTTGGAACTCGAACTTGCGGGCACGTCAAATTTTGGCTCACAGCGTCGGTCCTTGAACAATACAATTAAGGGTCTACATGTATCCCCGTGTACGGCGCTACGAGAGAAATTCAGCTTTCGTAAGGCAAGCAAGACTTCTGAAACAACAGCATAGAGCTGGGCAAAGCAAAAGGCAGCCACTTCCCTGTAAGCATTGATCGTTGAGGAAGGGGGCAGAATGTGAGCTTCAGCCACCCACATTTTCCAGAATGCTCAACACCACTGAAAGATTTCCAGCTGGAAGCAAACTCAAAAGTGTATCCCTCAAGCAATCCAGCAGCTCTCCATTTCTTCTATCCGCTTTCTTGCAAATTCACGGACAACGCCATGGACGGTTTTATATCGACGGAGGAGGCCATCAGCTGCTTTGCAGGGGCGGCAGTCTCAAGTCTAAGGGGACTTATGTATGTAGGGTCCGCGAATGTTGTTAATAACGTGACTGGAGGAGCCGCGGTTCTGACTACATCCCAAACACTGATGTCTCATACAGGCGTCGCTTAGGAGACGCCCTTTTTGCAAGAATCTTTGGCATCTGGTTGCGGGAAAATCCATGAACGCCCCTTCACCTTGTTGTTATCTCGGGTGCGTAAGAGGTAAGCCATGGGATTATGACCGGACCCAGACCCTCATCACCATGCGTTTATCCGAAGGCCCTGGACGCTGGCAAAACGCCGCTCCTGAGCCCGCCACATGATGCTGACAGGGGCGTTTCTCAAACAAGCCTTAACAGTAGGGACCCCAAGCCCTCATACCTTAGGCTCTCAACCTTGAACCCACCCCAGAAAGGGTTTAGGGTGAGGGTTTAGGGCTTGCAGGCGTGTCATTGAAGCTCAGGGCTTGGGGGCCTGGGAGTTCTCAGTTAGGCTTGTGGGCTTTGGACGTCTATGACCTTGAGAGACAGGATTGAGGGGCCTGGGTGCGGAGCTTTAGGATCCAGAGTCATGGCCCAGCTTTGGGCTCAGGGAATTAGGGCTTCGACCTTTTGATCTTGACTTTGTTAAGCAGGGGTGTTTGGCCGCAGGGTTCAGGTCCTGAGGGAGAAGTGAAAAATGCCTCTATCAGGTGGGTAGGAGGCCCTTGTAGCATCTGACAAGCACCAAGTAAGACCCGAAGCCTCAGAAACCTCACGTCAACACCTCCTAGCCTCTTGAACTCAACCCACCCTAAACCGTAAACATACAGACTCCAAACAAATTGGCCAATTAGCAGATGTCAGGATTGTAGCCGGCCTCTGACACCCAGCATTCACAGCCCGCAAGCTACATGTTCAGCCCCATGCACTGTGCATATCCCCTAGTTGGCGGCCTAGTTTTCAGGATCCAAACGTTAGGGTTGAGGCTTGGGGTTGACATCAGTTTGCAGAAGTTAGACTTTGGGGTGGAGGGTTATGGGTTCAGGGTTATGAGTTTAGCATTCAGGGTTTCAGCTGTACTTCATGTAGCCGAGGAATGAGGCCGAGCCAGTCGCTGCAGACGTCGAACCCCCCAGGCGTAGGCGCAGACGATGCCAAGCTGCAGTCTCATGGGATTTAGCAAGAGATGTGGCACAGCAGTTGGTGTTAGCCTGAACTTTTAAAGTTGTTTACGTGGATGGGTTTGGTTCATGTTTGTTGTGGTCAAATTTACATTGGTGATCAGGGGCTCGTTTTGACAACCTGAGCTGAATTGTTTTCAGGGTTGCCTGAGCTGACTGCTGGTTAGCAGGGAACCAAGGAATCGGAGGTAGGGACTGTTCTAAGGGGATAAAGCGAAGATAGGGACTGTTCTAGCGGGCTAGACGGGAACTACAAAATCCTTCCATTTCATAGTAACCACCGGTACTTGAGCTCGTAGGAGAATTTCCTGTACGTATGGGTAAAATCAGGAAGCCTGCAAGTCCATGCAGCAAGCTCAGGTTGCTTTGCTGCGAGTTCTGGGTTAAGGAACTGGGGGCGGTCGGGTTCGAAGTTTCAAGTGGCTCAAGAGTGCACGGGTAGCTATTCGAGAAAATTGAAGTCGAGCCTGAACTGCCATGCTTCCCTACGGTTTCAGGGGCATGGGGTGAGAGTCTCGCACAGAAGCCCACTGCATGGTCCTCATAGGGACCCGCCACATTCTGCCTATTATCACCTCCGCTTCCCTGCATTGCAACCATGGAATTTGAGTTGGTAAAGCTAAGGTAGCGCAAATCCCCAAGTCGTGTTGCGCCAGCTGCCCGAAACCCAGGCGAGTTTACGGACGGCCCGTACACCCCTCCAAATCTAGCTGGAGCAGTGCCCAATCTGCAAGTCTTTCTTTGGGTAGAGAGACCATTGGTGGATAGGTCACGGTAGAGCACTGGGAAGTAGAATTTCTTTAAGATCGAAAAACATAGTGACATGTAGGGGTTCAAGGGAAGCATAGTCCTCTAGTCGATAGAACTGGGGCATACAGCAATGGTTTTGTCAATCGAATCGAAGGCTGCCTTTACTTAAGAAAGGTTGTTAGAGTTTGCGACAGTTCTTGGGCTATAGCCTATAACACTTAGGATCATAGTTTCGACGCTTGGCAGCCCTTGCCCTGAAAGGGTTTTTGGTCCTTGAAAGAGAATGCTGGACTGATGTAGGGACGGACTACATAAGGTGCATGTAGAGGTTTTTCACCAACGGCTGAGGCCACCTGGGATGGCAGCAAGGGGTTTGGCTGAGGCCCTCTCGAGGTTATACATCCTTGGAGTGGAAGGTAGCTATGATCCAATTTTTCCTCGGCTTTGTACTTTCAAGTCTCTAAGGTATAGCCAATAGTTGGTGACGATTGGACCTTGCATAGGGTTTTTGGCTCACACGCCAAGTCTTACCTGAGCTTGATAATCCAACCGTCAACTAAGCCTGATCCCCACAGCTTCTTCAACCCTTCCAGTAAGACCCTCAACTCCTGCAAGCCCCCGCCCTTAACCCTCGCATGCCCTCGCCCTCAGCCCTAAGCCCTAGTCGAGGGCTTGAATAACTTGAATATTGGTTGCGGAGCTTGAATATTGGCTGCAGAGAATACTCTAGCACCTTTGAATAACGAATGTTTGTTACAGCGGAATATAAAAGCGCATGTAATGGAACATGATGTTCGCCGGTTTTTCTTTGAGGCTTATCTGCCCTACTTACGCAGGATGCGCGCCGTTCGACAGTATGCTGGTCCGTGCTGCCCGCAGAGGCAGTTTGGGAGGTATGGTTTTGGATAATTACTGCTACGATTATGACATTCCCCCAAGATTGAAACTCTGATGGTATTGATTTGTTATTACGCCCTGTGACAAGGGCATGTGTACATTGCATATAGATGTATGAAGAGGAACCAGTGACATAGTTTAGTTATAGGGCGGTGGCAGCACGCAGGGTAAACTGAACAACTTCTGCAGGGGCAAATGCGAACGTGTCGAGTAAGGCTTGCAGAGAAAACAGTACATGGCTTGTCCTTAAGCTGCGCTCTGGCGTTTTAGGTTTCGTGCTGTGTAGGGCAGCCCTCATTAGATAGAGCTGCCTGTTAACGAACATATTGGACTGACCTTTGTCTGCGCTCTCTCTCTCTCTCTCTCTCCCTGTGTGTCTCTCTCTCTCTCTCCCACAATCATTCCGGCTTCAGTGACACTGGCCCTCAACCGTTTTGGATAAAATGTTTTTGAGACAGGTATTTGACAGGTGCCTCCTCATTGTAGGCCCGGAGCCTCTGTTAGCCGCGACCTGTTGAGGCCTGGCAACAGATTGCAGATCTTCTTCCGGACAAGGATTGTGGCAGCCTATGGTCTGGCTTTGGGGCTTGGGATTTTGCAAGAGATGTCCAACCTCCGCATCTCATCAATATCAGCTTATCCCTGTGCACCAAAAGATGCTCAGTAGTTTGGATCTGGTCCTCCCCGGGTCTGGAAAGTGACGCGGCTTCAATCCCTGACAGTCCTTCCTTCGAGCTCAGGGCTTTGCGAGGTCCAAGCGGGCATAGCCCCGGGTTTGGTCCAGATTTGACTATCGAATCAGGGCAGAGGATGTGCAGATCTCGCCTTGATAATCAAGATTTGTCGGGGGATGCAGTTGCACGAAGAATACACAACAAGACCAGGAGCTTGTCCAGTGCGCTACAACCACCAGAATCTCGGATGTGAGAGGTTCGTTTAGGTCGGGGTAGAGTAGGAGATGTCATGTGCACGATGACGCTACAGTATGAGGCATGTGGAGAGGTACGCTCTTCTTGGACTTCCTTTCTTGGTAATTTGAGAGAGCCTTTGCTCAGGTTTCGTACTGGTTGCATGGGGTTGTCAACCCCGGGCCCCCCAAATTTCAGCGGGTGGATATGGAATGTGTCGAATATCTTGCGTGCTACTGCTGATCTTCCGCAACGCCACCACTCCGCGCATTTCAGGTTTACGCAACGTTAAAGGTTCCAAGCTTGCTAAACTTTGGCGAGCAATCGTCACGGAGCAGCGGGTGAAGCACTTAGCAGCGTGGGCCAACTCTCGAAACATCCCTGGCCAAATAGCCAGCCCGAAAGGGAATGATGAATTTTACAATCCTAAAGCAGGCCTCAGCTTCTAAGTTCCCAAGGCTACTGTTCTGCTCGAAGCCAGACATGTAAGGCTTATGAACTCCAAAGTGCAAGACCTATGCCCAGCCTTCCAACCGAAAGCCTTCTCACCAAGCCCGAAATTTACGAAAGCACAAAAAATAGCTGCAAGACTGAGGATCCCTTGTCGAGATCCTGGAGACTGCCGCGCCTTGTTCTTCATTTCATGAATCTGGGCACTCGGGGTTCAGACTCGCAGACCTGGGTCTAGGGCTCAAGAGTTTTCAGGGTTTGCGCATTTCTTGACCTTCTCAAGACTAAACCCCCACGGGGAAGCTCACAGCACAAATTCTTCCGTGTATGGGTGAACACCCATGAGGTGTCAAGAATAGTCAGGAAACATTCTACGGGCAAGCCCAAGATAGCTATCTTAGAGTTGGAGAGCAGCACACCTCCTCCTGGAGCCCCGGTTGCTCAGCTGTGCATTTCTCAGTTTTACGGGGCCCCTTCTTCCCCTCCACATGATGGACTCCTTGTTGTTGGGAATTTCCAAGGATGCCCGAAACCATGGACCTGAATGCCCACTTAGTCTCGACCCTAAACCCGAACTCCTGTAAATTCGAACCCGAGGCCTCGGAACCTGAGCCGGAGACATTAAACCTAAACCCTACGCCTACGCCCCAATCCTTTCCTCAGGAGCTTTGGGTCAGAAGAGCCGACTCTGCATTTGCATTGTTGCCCTTCTCAGAGGTAGAGCGCAGCCTGGCTTTGTTTGGGTTTGGGGTTTAGGGTTATAGGCCTTAACTGCCGCAGATGGCCCAGATATATCACTGCTAGGAAAATAGTCGGCAGAACTGCTCGTGTAATGCATAGTTGTCCGCCTAATGTGAATATGTGGGACTCCATGTTTGTTCGGCCGAGGGTAAGCCGTGCGACATACCCGCAGGTCAACCCTCCAAAGCCATATGCTATTTTCATGAAGGTCAAAACACCTAAGGCATTAGGCAATAATTAGACCCCAAAGTATGACGTCATCGTGATGTTTTTTGACGCCTAACCGCTAATAAGCAACCAATTCTTCTGAATGTTTACTCCCTTTGGGTACATGGCGAATCCAGGTGAGTAGTATACTGGATAGAGGTACCATCGTCCTCAACATAGAGGGGGATTGTATCTTCTGCTTGTCTGTTGCACATTGCTTTCATGAAAGGTGGACTCTCATTTTGTGCAACCACCCAAAAACGCTACTCAAATGCGTGTTCAGGTGAAGAGATGAAGAAGGAAGTTCGACTTGACGGTCGCCGGGGCTATGTCACTTGACAAATTGCATTGAAGTTTTGGCAACTTGGGGTTCAGGATTGTGGCTTAGCCCCTGGGTAAACGCAAATATGCATACACTGCAGTGGCCTGCTGTACTCGTACGGTTGACCTGACTTCTATCATTGGTCATGGAGCTTGAGGGGCGTGGTCTTTGCCCTCAAGGGCTGCATCGTTGCGCGGGTAATTCTTGCATGGCTGGCCTCATATCAGGTTTATTTGTGCTTCACGCGGGTGAGCCGCCTTTTGAGAACAGCTCGATCTCTTTAAGCCCTTAGCACTTTGAAGCCTGCAAGTCTCTGCCGGTAGAAAACAAATCGTATTACCCGTATATCAGACTCTGTTCGTTTTCCAGCTCAACGCTTCATCGAGGTCACCCGCCGCGTACTCTTCAAAGGCCTGCGAATAGCGCTGCTGATGGGAAGCGCGACAGCTGAGGGTAAGCATTGTAAGTGAATCCATGGAAAACCCCAGAAGGAGCCACCTCAAGCCACCACACCGTAGATTGCTCAAAGATCCGTTGAGACGAGATGAAGGCTCAGGAGCATGCCTTGGATTAGAGAAACAGTGGGCCAAGGGGCAAAGAGCTAGTATCATCTGAGGTTGAAAGGTCTAGAGCGGAGGCTATCCTTCAGTTTGCTTCCTGCTTCCTTGATACGCTCCAGTCAAATGTGGTATTTTTTGTTGGCAAAGGTCAACCCCAATCAACAAAATCGCGCTTGCACGGCCATGCTCCTGAATCCCACCCCAGGGGCCCCATCATTTTTGGGAGTCCATCCTGTCTACTAGACCATTTCTGCACATGATGTGCAGACAGTCCCGAGTCAGGGCCCGACAATCCTTTTCGAAGCCCGCTTTGGTGACAACCCCCAATACTGCATCCTTCCCAAGCAGACTTGGAACCTGAATTGGGTTTCAATGTACATACTTGGTGTCCAGGTTAGAGAGACATGAATTCAAATCATGTGTCAATGTGCGGCAGGATATTCAGTGAGCTTCCCTCACAGTATTTGTGTGCTGGTGCGCTGCCATATAATACACCCCGCAACTGTAGAATCTCGATGAATGGGAAGCAGAAAATCTGTGCCCCACCCTTTACACGCAATTAAACTCTCATGCCATCCTGCGTAAGCTAAGGAAAAGCCGAGATGAGCCCGGCGATCCAGCTAGCTCGGTGGTGCGGGGCGCAACTTCTCTCAGCCAATATTCTAGGTTCCTTAGGGGCCCTACACATTCGGAACCCTCCGGAATCAACCCTAAGTAAGTATGTTTTGGTAACTATGGTCAAGGTTTGGTGCGCACGGCACCGGGCTTTTCAAAAGGTGCTGTTGACGGAGGCTGAAAATCCCATTGTTCCTACAAACCACAGCAGTCAAGGGCCCCTCAGTGGTTAGTTTGTGGGATTTTGGCTGGAGGGTCTACGGGTGAGCTTGAAGGTCTTTGGCATCAGTCACGTTTTTTTTGTTTGGTTTCATGGTTTGGTGTTCGAGGCCCAGAGTGCTGAGCAGGCTCCGCTTTTGGTTGCATCTGGAAATGGGCGCCCCTACATTGTTAAGTCAAGCTTCTTCCTCAACTAAGGAGTCACAGCAAAAGAGTGCATATCAGTTACACAAGAACTGACCACTGGAGAATCAAGGAAAGTCCAGCACAGCGGCCAGGGGGCGGATATCGTCCTGACACTCAGAGCATATCAGTTCAAGGGTTTTTGGCTAGTTTGTCCACATTGGACCCTGGGTCGTCATAAGGGACGGAAGTGTCTCTGTGGGTCTCTCTCTCTCCCTCCCCTTTTATATGTGTGCATTCTGCTCTATGTTGACATCAAATTTGGGCCCAAACCCCCATCTCAGATTTCCGGGATTCCCCCGACACATCCCTGAGGATGCTCCGATTTCTTTCGAGGCCGTCAAGATACAGCAATATGGTACCCCGCAGATACTTTTTACATACTTTTACTCGGTTACTAGGACAACGAAGTGCAACGACGCATGTTCGTGTTTTTTTTTTTTAATGCACGCCTGCCAGGGTGTATATATATATATATATTTATGCCAAGGCATGAATCTAGCATTTCGTGTAATATCGTAGTCCTAAGCGCTAGCTCTTCCGTCTATTCACATGTTAAAAACATTGGGCTTCAATCTTTGGATTCCAAGATTGTGGGTATTTCTAGGATCTGGAATTTCAAAAACGGAAACGCACTATTTTCAACATTCTCAGTTCTTCGGAATCAAATACTCCAGAAACGGTCCCCATAATTTCGAATCTTGGATCCCAAATATTGAAACCCAATGTTTTTAGCATTTGAAATCCAAGTGTTCTTTTTCAGCATTTGAAATCCAAGTGTTCATGGCACAGTGCCGTAGAACCGTCTTGGAATCTAGAATTTCAAATATTCAAGCGCAACCCTAGGATATATCTATAGAACACAATTGAACATGATAAGTCAAGCTACCAGCCGCCTAGATACATCATTGTATATGTGCATTTATGGTTACGCGTATATTTATGTATTCATTTTATTTCTATGAAAACATTCGTTCCCCCTAGTAGTAACCCTCCTAAAACGAACTACCCTCCCAGAGAATCGCCAACGACTACTTTAAAAAGATATCCCCGTAATCAGGAATTAAGGGGTTACTGAGAACATTAGGGGGTTGGAAGAGGGAAGCAAAAATCATGAGGGATCCTGGTCGTTCATGATGTGTATGTAGTTTTTTTTGATGAGGTTGTGCGCCAAAACTTATGAGGCAGGTGCGCGCGGACATCCATTGCCATGGATCATCGTGCGTTTTCTCGCCCAGTCATGGGGATCAGCAGAATCAATAACAGGGTAAGCTGCAACAAAAAAGCTGGGTGGCGTGTGTTGGCATGGCCTGTGCTGAAGCGGGACATCACCAACCCCCTGCAACCCTACCTGTGGCACAAGAGTTTGCGTGCATCTTCAACCCTTCACCTCAGAATATGCTGCAGCAAGACTAGTGACTAGCAGGCTTTTGTAGAGGCTTGTAAGTCTTGTAGATAATGCGGAATGCATATTCACCGCCTGCGTCGGGCCTACGCCTTAACATGGCCTCCCCCGTTACAGCGCGCCTTGCTTTGCTCATTTTGCCAGGTCTGCATAATTCAATTTTTCCAGGTCTGTATAATGCCCGAGGAACTGCATGAAGGGCGCTTCATATTAAAGACATTGGGCAGTCATTGGCATCGGGGCCCTTCGTTATCGCTATTCTCTTCTTAGCCGTCCCTAAATCTCTCTCAGCGCAAGACCCTGAACCCCAGGCTGCACCCTGCACTCCCTGCACTGTAAGATCTTAACCTTCAAGCTTTTCTCGACGTTTTCCTATAAGGATTGGCCCGGGTGGTGGAAGTTGCGCCGCTTTTGCATCATCCCGGCACTCGCACAAGCCGCTTGGTTTGGGGAGACTTACGGTGGGATGCCGTGGGAACGCAAGGGTTGGACAGAAGATTCCGGTACCAGAAAAAGTTAGAAAATCCCAAAGGCCCAACTCCATTAGCTAGATATGTGATGTTGACTGCTGCGAAGGGGTTGGAGTTAATGGCGCCAAGGATGTGAGAATCACGGGGGTTGGGATTAGGTGCTGGGCTTTTGAAGTCAGCTTTTTGAGTGTGCCTACGGCGGGCTGATGCCGGGTTGCAGTGGAAGAGTTCGTGAAATGAGCGTGTCATGTTCAGGCTCCTGATTTGCACGCTAGTCCTGCTAGTCGTCATTTTTGGCGCTCGAAGGGTGCATACATAAGAGCAGTATGCACGAAGCCCTTGGAGCAACAGCAAAGATGCACTGCGCATCCCGGGCATCAGTCCCGAAGTGGCATCGCTAGCATCTCACCAACAGACTGCCGCCCTTGGCAGAGATGTCCCCTCACAAAGCGCCCTTGAAATTGTGCAGTGCGCATTCGCCACTGCATATCTTTATGTTGATAAGGAAGCTCGCTTACGGCGAAGCCACGAGGCAGACCCAAAAGTTCCAGTGATCTTAGAAAACCCCGAGCTCCGAACTCCCTCAGCCCGGGATGCCAAGCTCCCTAAACTTCTCTAAGCAGCCTGAGGCTCTACCATGGTGCCTGGCTACGGGCCTCTTGCGTTGCCGGCCGGCAGCTGCCGAGACACAGGAGACATGGATTCCAGGGCTCCTACGGGTAATCATAAGCTGGACACTTCAGGAACAAGCGGACCAGCCATGCCAAGCAATATTCTCATTGCTGGGAATGCTGCGAGATTAAGATAATGCATGCTGCTCCGCTGCAGCGCTCGCAGCTGCAACGCAGTAT